TCGCTGCGGTGGCCGGGAGTGGCCACTGCACTCCAGTCTGGGCGACAGAGTGAGACTCTGACTCAAAAATAAATAAATAAATAAAAGAAAATGATCACTTACAGAGCAGTCATCGAGGTTCCCAGAGAACCGGCTCTATTTTCTTGCTCTACCATGATGGTGGGAGAGAGACTGTCCCTGATAGGCAGGAATAAACCTGAAACGCGTGACCACTTAGGTCAAACCAAGAAAAAGTAAGAACTCTGCACACCTCAGGTGAACAAGGGACTGTAGGGTGGTGGTTCTCCACCCGGCTCTGCTTGGAGCCCACCAAAATCACTGATGCCTGGTGTCCCCCCACCAGTCAGTCACTCAGCAAATATTTATGAAGCAGCTCTTTTGTGCCAGGCACTGTTTCCTTGAGATGCAAGACTGACAAAATTCCCTGATTCGGGAGCTCATGTTATCACAGGGAGAGTCAGAAACAAGAAGCATACTGAGTAGATGATCCGGTGGGCGCCCTGGAGGAAGGACCTGGGCAAGGGAGGTGTGAGGGCCCGTGAGGGCAACCAGTTGCCACGTGGGTCAGGGGAGCCTCGCTGGGAGGGGCGGCTGCATTTGAGCAAAGCCCCAAGGGATTGGGGGAGTCAGTCTGGGCAGTGGGAGCCACCCTCCAGACTCAGGGGCTGAGGCCTGGCCTATCTCAGGATCTGCCAGGACTGTCCTCTGCTGCCACCTCGGTATCTGTCCTTTGCCACTAACTGATGGCCCCCACTAGTTTCCACTTCTCTGGCCTGGGTATGATATGAAACTCTGGTGACCGAGTCACCACTCTGTATATTTAAAAGAGGGAGAGCCGGGCACGGTGGCTCACGTCTTTAATCCCAGCACTTTGGGAGGCCGAGGTGAATGGATTGCCTGAGCCCACAGGTTCGAGACTAGCCTGGGCAGCTTGGCGAGACCTCATGTCTACAATAAATCAAAAAATTAGCCGGGCGTGGTAGCACATGCCTGTAGGTCCAGGTACTTGGAAGGTGGAAGGATCGCCTGAGCCCAGCAGGTGGAGGCTGCGGTGGCCGTGAGCGTGCCACTGCACTCCAGCCTGGGCGACAGAGTGAGACTCCAACTAAAAAAAAAAAAAAATTTAAATAAAGGAGGGAAAGGTGGGAAGAGTGGCATTTTGGATTTGAGACTGGCAGCTGAAAACAGAGATGAAAGAGGAGGAAAGTCACCAGCCTGGGAAGCTGCAGCCAGCACAGCACCCGGGACTCCATGGCCAGAGGGGGGAGAGTCAGAGATCAAGTGTGTTCACAAGAGAAGTGTGATTCTACCTCTTGTGAGGGTGAATTATTCCCATGCAATCACAAAAATGTGAGTACATAGAAATGACTCAGACCCCGGGCAGAGCTGCAGCTGTCCCTTGTGTGATCATTGAGCTGCTGTCACCACGAACAAAAATGCTCAAAAGGATAAATGGAAGCAGAAGATGTCAAGAGAGCCGGGCTTGGTGGCTCACGCCTACAATCCCAGCACTTTAGGAGGCCAAAGCGAGAGAATTACCTGAGCCCAGGGGTTCAGGACCAGCCTTGGCAACTTGGCGAGACCTTGTCTCCACAATAAATCAAAAAATTAGCCAGGTATGGTCGGGAGGATCACCTGAGCCCAGCAGGTGGAGGCTGCGGTGACCATGAGCATGCCACTGCACTCTAGCCTGGGCGACAGAGTGAGACTCTGACCAAAAAAAGAAAAAAGTGTCAAGAGGCTCCTTCCTTCCCGTTCACACTCATTTGAGCACTTTATCGTTGACGTCACCAGAGCCCTAAAGAGAAACTTCTGACTAATATTCTTTCCAAAGAATCTGGATGGAATTTCTAGATTTTGTGGTTCAAAATTAGTAACTGTGTTTTATTTGTCACAGTCATTGGTCCGGGAGGTGGAAGTGCAGGAGGCAGTGGCAAAGGACACTGACAGTGGGACACTGGCAGATACCAGCCACTCAGATTGTCCAGAGGACGTGTCCCTCTCACAAGGACCCCTAAAAGTAAACTCTGCCGAAGGTAAGGACCAAAGATGTGGGAGTCTGGAGAGTGTGTGGCCAAGACATCCAGACCCGCTATTCGTGGCCACCCCCTGCCAGAGCTGGACTGCAGCAGCCTTGGCCAGAGAGCAGGGCAGAGCCAGGGCAGGTGGAGGACACGCCTCAGGCTTCGCCTGCCCCCAGCAGAGCATAGGAGAACGGGTCCCCAGCTACCCATCACCTGGCCATTCTGTCCTCCATCCCAGAAGTGCCATCCAGCTTTCAGCAGTCCTCACCCGTTGGAACGAAGGCCGTCCATACCAGTCT